ATCAGATCAACCTGTTCCAATGAAGGAGACCAGTTTTCAAGAGCAAAATCAAGGTACTAAGTGACTTTAAAATATCAATCCCGTGTGAACTAGGGAAGGATAGGCAACGCAGGCTGTATAGGCAACGCAGGCTGTGTTCTTAGGTAAAATTTCAAATAAACCACAGAGTTCTTCCCACTTGCTAATTACCTAACATAACAGCATACTACAGGGACACAGCCACCTCAATGTTTATAGCAGCACAACTCACAATAGCTTAACTGTGGAACCAACCTAGATGCCCTTCAATAGATGAATGGATAAAAAAATGTGGCACATATACACAATGGAATATTACTCAGCAATAAAAGACAATAAAATCATGGCATTTGCAGGTAAATGGATAGAGTTAGAGAAGATAATGCTAAGTGAAGTTGGCCAATCCCAAATAACCAAATGCTTGATATAAAGAGGCCCATTCATAGTGGGATAGGGAGAGGGAGAATGGGAGGAATAGATGAACTCTGGATAGGGCAGAGGGGTTGGAGGGGAAGGGAGGGGGCATGGCGTTAGAAATACTTGTGGAACGTGATGATCATTATTATCCAAAGTATATGTATGAAGACACGAATTTGTGTGAATATATTTTGTATACAACCAGAGATATGAAAAATTGTGCTCTATATGTATAACAAGAATTGTAATGCATTCTGCTGTCATATAAAAATAAACAAAAATAAAAAAGAGTTGGTAGTAAAAAAAAACCCATAAGTTTCACATATGTTAATTTTTATAACATTAAAAGGATAATAGAAATTAAACAAAAAAAAGACAAGAAAAAATTTGAGGACTCTTTTGGAAAAAGAATCACAATTTCATGAATCAGTTCAAATTTTCATTTTGTTTTTCAGTATAAACTCGGGGCTCCCTGAAAAGTCTTGCTTATATGATGAGACAAGACCGCATTGTGCTGAAAATATTACTGAGGAGCTCAAGTGATTCTGTGTCAAGGATTTTCGAGTTTCCAGATTTTGCAATGGTTCTTTTCCCATAGGTGAACGCTTAACCCTTGAAGATTCTGGGATGAGTTTTCACCAGAGAAGAGGCTTAAGTAACAGTCAGCCCAATCCTCAGATACTCATCACAGAGTCGCTTTTATGTCACCCCTCCTCTGACATGTATCTAAATATTGAAATTCAGCTTCTTGAACTTCAATTCACATAACTTTCTTATTCTCTGGCTTTGAGCATCCCCTGTTAAAGCCCTCGACCTCTATGGGAACTGCTGTGTCTGGACCATCCTCTCTCCCTTCTATACTAACATTTAAAAGAGTTGTGTGTCTAGGGCTCTAGTCCACCCAACATCCCTCAAATAGAACTTCCCTCACGGAATATCTGTTTCTAGAGTATAAAGTGAGACTCTGTTAAGTCATGATGGACCTAGATGTTTGCTATTTATCTGGCATTTTTAGGTAACTATGACTTTAAGAAAATTGGTCCTGCCAAATAGTTTACGCCTCTCAGGAGAAGGATGAATGGGAGTTTTTGAGATCACTGACTCTGAATGCCAATACAAAGTAATATAATCGGAAACCTTGAAGATATGATTTAACCACTCTGACCCTCATTTCACCTCTCTGAGAAGGAAATAGTAATGCYTACATGTTCTAGAATCTGAACTAGATGAGTTTCCATGACAGATGAGGAGGAGAACATTGAGAAGATAACAATTGGAAGGGTGGCACACAGCAGTGTTAAATAAAAAGGGTTAAGGTAAGTAGGCTTTTTGAAAGATTCCTTGGGAACAGGTTATCATGTTAAACAGATTTTCTATTCCAAAATCTGTAATTCCTTAAGAAATGTCATGGGCTGGCCTCAAACTGTACTAAATTTTTTTGGTACAGTTTATTGGGCTCACTACACATGAGGTCTGACAGGAAAACTCCCCAGAAAACCACATGACTTGTGTATTGCCATCTGCTTTCTGAGTTGATTCCTGAAAAGATCAACAATAAGCCAAGACCACCTTCTCTCGCGATCAAGAAATGACACACACTTCAAGTTAGAAATGAAATGTCAGTGATCACCTATATCAATGTTTCACCTCACAGGGAAGCTTGTAAGATAGTAAAGTTATTGGCTTTTTTTTTTTTTTTAAATCCAGAGAGATTTTGAAGAGGATTCCCATACTAAAGAAAAAGTAGTAACACTATCTTATTTTGTCTCTGAATGATGAAATTTTATCACAGCATAATTCTAGAACTGGGGAACTTTTTATCTAGATCAGTGATTTTCAAATTATTCCAAGTATCCTAGAGGATTTTACGAGCATTACTTAGTGATCACAATGGGAAAATGGGGACTAGACCCCAGGCCACTACATTCCCTTATTCCCACTTCAACTAACAGAGCTTCTCTGTCTTCTGCTTAATATATCATATTTCTATGTAATGTTTCCAATTTCTCTGCTTGCTCTTGTGACCTTGAATAACTGCTTAATCTCTTCATGCTTTGTTTTATTCATTTTTAAAGTCCTGGTAGTAATAATATTTTGTCTCATAAACTTGTTTTAAAATTTAAACGAGTAAATACCCATAGAGCAGTTACAATAGTATCTGACACATAGTACCTGCACAGTAAGTATTCTTATTATTATTACAATTGTTATAAAATATTTATTTTCTGGGAAAATATGGATGGAGTCACAATGAATACAGGAATCACTTGTTCAGAGGCCCTAACTCACCCAGACTCATGGGACACTTCAAATGACAAGTTCTTATTACTTCATTGTCATTAATGATCATCACAAAGTTCCTTTATCTATCATGCCAAGATCTTTTATTCCAATCAGGCCACAAACATACAGAACTTGCTTATCTTAAAATAGTCTCCAAGTGATTTCTTAGTCTCTTCTCCACATCACAGATGCCATCTTTGCCTTTATCATCATGATCATTGTCACAAAAAGCTCTTGTGTGTTCATAACTTGTCACGAGCTAGATATGAGTACTTTACATTTATGACCTCATTTAAAATGCACAGTGAGGTTGTGGTGGAGGTACCATTAACTTTATCCTGAGAGTTTATTTACATTATTCTGACATTTGTGAAGACAACAAGGAAGATTTATGTAAGACTTATTACAATGAGAGTATTGTAATAGAGAGGAAAGATCATGCTAAACTCTAAGAACAAGGACAAGTGAGGATTTATAGCCAAGGAGAAGGGATTGGATGTGTGAATGGAAAATTACTTCAAAGAAAACATCAAGATAGGGGGATTTTTGTTAAACTGACCTAACAGGATTCTTGCTAAGGAAGAATGTCCTATATCAAAGATGGAGGATGAGGAACTTGATCAAGTATCAAGCATGATCAGATATCAATGGTGCTGGGATAATTTAATGGGATTTTTTTTGTTTGGGGGTAGGCCAAAAACAGGATAGGGTCCAAGGTCAAAGCCTAGTCAAGAAAAGGGTTCAGAGGATGCTGACTGAAATTTGGTGGAGGAGAGTCCTTATGACTACATGAGGGAAACTACAAGTTTCTCATTGATCATGGCATGCCCAAGGTGTAATACTGTCTCTAACACAGAGTAAAGTTCCATTAATATTTAATTAAAGATAAAATGAAGAAAAAGAAAGTAGATATATAGCAGATAAATAACTTGTACATAGTCATTTAGATATAATGGAGCTAACAATAAATTCAGGTGTACAACACTCTCAGTTTTATGTCAGGAACGTTATGATGCTTGGTCTCAGACCATCCCACCACCAGTTCCATCCACCTTTATCCTTTTAAAGGGACACAAGTATAAATTTCAGTTTCTCAGCCCCCAAAAGGCATTCCTTCCATTAGTGATACAGACAGCCCTTCCATCTCTGTCTATCAAAAATCAAGAGCTAATTTCAAGATATTCTTTTTTTCTTGATTTTATTCTATTTTTCTTTTTATTGGTTCTTTTAGTTATACATAACACTAGGATTTGGTTTGACATAAATTATAAAAGCATGGAATATAATTTGCTTTGATTCAGTCTCTAGTACTTCCCTCTTTCCTCCTCTCCTTTCTCTTCCTATTCCCCTCCCTCTACTCTACTGATATTTTTGCTATTTACTTAGTTTTTTTTCCTTATAGAGTCACTCTATTTAAAAATTTACATAATATCAGTGTTCTTTTTTTATTGGTTGTTCAAAACATTACAAAGCTCTTGACATGTCATATTTCATACATTAGATTCAAGTGGGTTATGAACTCCCATTTTTACCCCAAATGCAGATTGCAGAATCACATCAGTTACACATCCACATTTTTACATAATGCCCTATTAGTGACTGTTGTATTCTGCTACCTTCCTATCCTCTACTATCCCCCCTCCCCTCCCCTCCCATCTTCTCTCTCTACCCCATCTACTGTAATATCAGTGTTCTTATAGCATTTTTTTAAAAAGTTTCAAATACAGCATGGCTTAAGAAAAGCACAAATTTTTTGTCTATTGGAATATATTCTATTAAACAGAAAATGTCACTAAACATGCATGTGCTTGTGGCTCAGGGCAAGGTTACCATCTTATTCTTGATCCATATCAATTTCAGTGAACTTTTTGAACTTCCTTGAGACTTCACTTCCCTATCTGTAAACCAAAACAAGCAATGATAATGGCTACCTGATAACTTTGTTATGAAAATCAAACTATAAAAGTGAAAGTATTCATAAAATCTTAGGCTTTCTGGCTCATAAAGAGAAAACAACAGCAATATATAAGAATAGCACCAGTTTTACTAGGTTCTATTAGCTATTGAAATGGTGTTGTTTACCTGTCTTTCAGGAAAAAAAAAAAGAATTCCCATGCCTAACAGACCTATTTGACATCACTTCAGGATTCTGTCATTGGAAATAGCTATTTCACAATTGAGGTGGGAGCTCTTGACAATATAAAAGTATCTAAGTAGCTGGGAAGATACTAGAAGGTCATTTCTTTTACCTGAATCTGACAGCCCTCCGCCACTTCAGCACTATGAGAACAACATCCTTTATCCTACTCCTGGTTGTGGCACTTGSAACCATATTCAGTGAGTATCTCTCATAACACCACCCTTGCCCTGAGAAAACAGCTCCTTCATCTCTGCCTACATAATGTTAGAATGTGCTTATCACATAGGTCATAAGGAAACTTTCTGACACATTACTTTTTTTTTGTCTCTACCAATGAATCACTAAATCACATCATCTCTGTGGTTGAATAATGTCAATGGTCAGCTAAGACCAAATTCTAATCCATACTAACACTTTGTGTAACTTCATAGGTTATCATCCAGATTCTATTTGACTTCATAGCACCGTTTATGAAGATGTCTTCTTTTCATAGAACATYATAATCTGTTGTTTGGCTACATGAGCAATTCTTCTTCGATTCTACTTCCATTATTGAGTTAAAAACTGTCTCCCTGCCAGGCATGGTGTCTCACACCTGTAATCCCAGCAGCTTGGGAAGTGAGGCAGGAGGATCATGAGTTTAAAGCCAGCCTCAGCAACTTATCAAGGCCCTAAGTAACTCAGCGATACCTTGTCTCTAAATAAAATATAAGTATGTGGCTCAGTGGTTAAGTTTCCCTGAATTCACTCCCCAGTAACCTCCCCCCAAAAAACTCTCTCCCTAGAATTTTTAACCATGAGTCTTGTTTCTGCCACCTACCTATGCCTACTATATAAAAGCAGATGTTCCTTTCATATTGTGGTTTTTTGTTTATTTGTGGTCCTGGGGATCAATCCCAGGGCTTTGTGCATGCTAGACAAGCACTCTACCAACTGAGTTATTTCCCCAACCCCCAATGTTCCTTTCATATAAGGAATTTTTTCAGTATTTACTGAGCTTTTATTATGAAAAGAAAAAGAATAAGACAAACTTCTTATTTATTTACCTTTATTATTTTTTTGATATTTTTGATATTTCAATCATATTCCAAAAGCAGGGAAGAAAAAAAATCTGTGTAGGAAGCTTCGACCTTTGATATTAAGTGGATACAGAGTTCTGAAGAAAAGCTTACACTGTCTTATCAAACTGAGACATAAATCAAATATCATTTCTCTAATAAGATTAGGTTATTCCAGAGTTTAACTTAATATTGTCTTTGTTTTACTTCCAGATATAGACTGTGCCTCAGAGGAGTACCAGGTCAGTTAATCCATCTTGATATAAAAACCCTAATTTTAAAGAATTTTAAAGACCAATATTAGTAAGGAAATGTTTGATATTATATATTAACTATATTTCTGATGAAGATTTAATTTCTGAGTATCAAAATTGGTTTTACTTCTAACATTGTAGAGTGATCTCCCCAAAATGAAGGTGGAAGAACAAATTGATGAGACATTAATATCAAAGTTAAAAAGTCTTGAGCTTCAATTCTACCTCATTTTCATGTGGCCCTAGGAAAAGTTACTGTGAGATTGTTCTAAGACCTAAACCTACAGAATTTGAAAATGGCCTCTAAGAGAATAAAGACTGTTATTTCTACTTGTCCTTCATGGTTTATTTACATAATGATTATTGCTGGAAAAAAAACTGGGTATAGTAGTAAAAACTTAAAACCAACACTCAGGCATTTTAAGTACTCATTTTAACTCTGTTTATTATTAACTGTGTGACCCTGTGGCCCAGACAATTTCTTTTATGTCTGTGAATCTTTTATTTTATCTATTAAAAAATAATRAGGTTAAGATATAAGCCTAGTCCTACAGGCCCAAATTCAAGCCATCCTTCACCATCTAATAATTGTGAGAATGAAAAGGGTTAATGAAGGTTAAGCACTTGATAGTCACTGTCTGAATTATATCACACAAACCCCAATTCTGGGCTTTGAGCAATCAAGGGGAAGTAAAGCCAGGCCAGCATGGACTTATCAGGGGCACCACTATCTCCTGCTGCACTAGCCCCTGAGGTCTTCCTGCATTTGTGTCATGCTTATTGATCCTCGCATCAGCAACACTCAACTCATTTCCCTAAATGTAGGAGGTACATGGAGGATAGCAAATGATGAATGAAAAAATTTATGAGTGGAGCTTATCTGGAGGCAAAGGTGAATTCAGGTTTGAGTTTGAGCACTTTCCAGTTATACCATCAGAGATAAACAATTAGTACAATACTGCTTCTGGAATTCTAGAACTGAATGAGCTGAAGATGCAGAATATGTTTTACAGAACTGGAGTTTGTGCAGCTCAGGAAGTAAAGACAAAGGATAAAAACAACAGCCATTATTTTTTCAGTGTTTTCCATGCCATGTAGTTCTAAGCACTGTACACATATCTTCCCCAATATTTATTTTGTCTTTCAACCTCACAATGCAGTTATTACTACTTTCATTTTGCAGGCAAACAAACTAAAGATTGGAAAGGTGAAGTAACTGCCCCAGGGTCATATAGTAGAATTTTAATTCCATATGTGACTGTATTGTTCACATTCTTCAGTATGCTCAAAGATAACAAATCCAGAAAATTCTTTCTCAGGAATTTTCTACCTACTCCCATAGGTAGATCACTGCTTTGACTTTGCTCCCAAAGTTTAGAACAGTTATTCCTAACTCTAATTTAAAATACATTTGTCTGTGTGCTGGTGAAGCATATAGCAAGTGTACAAGAGAATAACCAATAAGTAATGTTAAAAGTTACCAATGATGTACACTAGTTCTTAAAAGTAAAATAATTATTCTTACAACATTCCTATTGGACTTTATGAGTGAAAAAGATGAGTATCAGGGTAATTCACACAGAACACTTCTGGTTAATCCCTTGAGAATGGGTACATTTGTGGATATGCTATGTGTGTTGAGAACTGATGAATCAACCTCTGTAGTGAGAAAATTCTATTTTGAAATAAATTATGATTTTGTAACCAACTATATAAAGATGTCTATTGCTCATGATCTTTTTCTTGTTTTTGTTGGTACCAGAGATTGAACCCAGGGGCTTAACCACTGAGCCACATCCTCAGCCCTTTTTATTTTTTTATTTTGAGACAGGGTCTCACTAAGTTGCTTAAGGCCTTATTAAGTTGCTAAGGCTGGTCTCGAACTTGTGATCCTCCTATTTGAGGCCCCCAAATTGCTGAGATTATAGGCATGCACCACCATGCCTGGCTGCTTATGATTTTTCTATCCAAAATAAAATATCTTTATACATGGTATATCTAAAATTGATTAGATAAGGACCAACAATTTTACTAATAAACAAATGCATGGACTTACTTGGACTTGCTCTGGACTTGCTTGCCAAATACTAAATCCTTGGAAATAAATATGTGATTGAAATAATTGAACTTTTAATGTTTGTTTTTAGGTTAATTGTACTCCTTATAGAAACCTACCACCAGAAGAACTAAGATTTTGTCCTCTAGTCTATGAACCAATTTGTGGATCTGATGGCAAAACCTATTCCAATGAATGTATCTTTTGTTTTAAAGTTAAGTAAGTACTGAAATATTATATTTTTTATATTTGAGTTAAAGTTATATGCTAAGTACCACAATTAGAGAAATAGTTCAGGGCATATGAACTATGGGAATCATATCATATTGACTGTGGAAAATCAGAACCCTGTGTCTCAGAGGATTTGAAAGTCCCTGGTGTCATATCCCCATGTATTTTGATGTACACTCGTTCTTAAAAGTAAAATAATTATTCTTACAACATTCCTATTGGATTTTATGAGTGAAAAAGACAAGTATCATGGTAATTCATACAGAACACTTCTGGGTAATCCCTTGAGAATGTGTACATTTGTGGAATTAAGCTTCAGAATCAGAGAAGCCTAGAATCTCCAAATTGGAAGGAAACTTGAGATCATCTAGTTCAACTTTCACCTTGTAATATATTATGTAGAGACTCTGTACAAAGACATCACAAAGAAATCCCATAGTCCATGCTTATTTCAAGAGGCAAGGAATGCCCGCSCCCCCTCCCCCAGCATATCAATCCGCATCTGTTAAAATGAGCCATATTAATTTTCAACTTCAGTAACTAGGTTTGGAAATGCAAAAACATCCCTAATGATTGTACAAAAGGGACCATATCTGAAAAAAAAACTGTAGATTTGTTCTGTTTCAATGAAATGTATATTTTAGATATAGTGAAAAATATATTTTAAAATGAAATAGGCAAAAGCATCTCAAAGGTTAAAAAAATAACCTTTGAGTAGCATCAGATCAAAAAACATGAAATGCTGAGTGATAKCCAAGAGATTACAGTATTGTGCTCCACTGTAATCTCAGAGACTCAGGATGCTGAGATGGGAGGATCCAAGTTTGAGGTCATCCTCAGCAACTAAGAGAATAAGTCTCAAAATAAAAAATGAAAAGGTCTCTGGGGATACAGCTCAGTGGCAAAGTGTCCCTGGGTCCAATCCCTGGTACCCACCCTCTCCCCCCAAAAAAAGAGTCTAGAAAAATATTGGTTCTTATAAATATTTTCAAAATATATATGAAATGAAAACAAGTATCTAAAATTCATGACATACTGTCCTGGTTCTTTTTTAATGAAAAGTTATAATGCATCCTGAAAAAAAGCCTTCTAAATGAATGTTTCCTTTAAATTAAAAAAGTCAATTAAAATATTTTCAAGGATATAAACTAATTGTGATGTCTTTTGAGTATCATCTTTATGTAATCAACACCAGTTTTGAAAATACTGCTAAAATACAGTCATTCCTTTTTAAAACATCAGTAAGTGGGAGACTTTTCCACTTTGGGTTTTTACTGGTGAACTTTCAATGCTAATGAAATGCTAATGAGCTCAGCATTTCTTATTTCTTGCTTTTCTCTTTCTACAGGGAAACTGATGAATTACTTAAATTTATACATTTTGGAAAATGTTGAATCCATCTTCTGATTCCAAAATACCTTTTAATGCATTTTCTTACTAAGAGATACATTTCATTTCCCAAGAAATCCATCACACCTTGCCTAAGCTTATCACCATATGTTGATTTCTTTGTAGAATAAAATAGGCCTAAATGAAATAAACATGTATCTGACTCTTMTATGGGGAGTGAAGTGAAATCTTCTAGATTAGTCTTAATTTTAGGACATGTCTAGTAGACTATCTTAGGACCACATTTGCAAGGAAGAGAAAAAAAGTTCATTAAGACTAGCAATAAGAGCTGGGCTGGCGTGTGTGTGTGTGTGGGGGGGGGGTAGGGGCACATGTCTGTAATCCTAGCAGTTCAGGAAACTCAGGTGGGAGGATCACAAGTTCAAAGCCAGCCTCAGCAAAATTGAGGTGCTAAGCAACTCAGTGAGATCCTGTCTCTAAATAAAATACAAAATAGGGCTGGATGTATCCCAGTGGTTGAGTGCCCCTGAGTTCAATTCCTGGTACCAAAAAAAAAAAAAAAAAAAAGTAATAGAAACTAAAAAATCAAAAACCCTGAAGCTAATATATCCTTCTTACTCAGACTAAGAAAAAAAAAAAACCTGTGCATTTCTTAGTTATTGCATATTCCAGAAATGTGAACAGATGAAGGAGGTGACTTCAGGCACAAGAATTAGAAAACTGCTAGGATGGTGGAAGGAGAGGGTCATCATTATACAAAATACATGTATGAAGATGTGAATTTGGTGTCAACATACCTTATATACAAACAGAAATATGATAATGGTGGTATAAAGGTGTATTAAGAATTGTATGCAAAAAAATGAGAGCTCATGTATAATGGCATAATTTGGTGTGAACATACTTTATATACAGAGTTACAAAAAATTGTGCTGTGAATGGATAATTATGAACGTAATGCACTCTACTATTGTCATGTATGTAAGAAATAAATAAAAACAGAAAGAAAAAAAGATTTAGAAAACTGCTTTACTAGATGCCCCATGTGTTTCAGACATTGAGAGCTACCCTGAACTGGGACTGCCCTCTATTTCTACCAGAGGGACCCATCTGAAATATGGCAAGCAGAATGAGGCCAGTAAAGTTGGTCAAGTTGCCATGTATTAGTCAGCTTCTTCAATGCTATTCTTTCCCTAAGGTTCCATCTCAGGTCTAGGATCTGACACACGATCCCACTATTACATGATAAGTTCCTTAAAGAGCAGAGAATGTTCTGTGTAAATCTTTGTAATCCATTTGTGTATCTATTCAAGAAACAAATGACTTAGTCAGTGTTGGCCTTAAAGAATGCCATGGTGAGTAGAGTGGACTTGGTCTTGTTCTCTTAGAACTTGTATTCTGTGGAGCAATTTGCAACTTGTGCAGAACTTAAATACTGATAGAGTAAACTTGAGTTGAAATTAAGCAAAATTTTCATTGGATGATGACAGAGTTACATGATCTATGCATTGAACATATGAAAATATAACCATACATTATCTGCTAGGAGGAAAAAGAAAATAGTCAAGCCATTTTGAGTGATGTTCTTGACTCACAAATTCATCAGATATTAAGGGACCAAGAACCCAATGATCCATGCTGATTTCTGAAGAATTCAAGTAAAATATATGTTCTTATTTTGTATTCTCACTTTTAGTTTTTCAAAAATATTTTTGCTTCCTGAATTATCCAAGATCATCTTCAAACAAAACATAGAAACATTCTTCAAACAAACTCTTCAGAGACAATGAAAATATTAGAGTTTCTTCACTCATCTTTTCAAATATCTCTTCTCTACAATATGCTTCTAGAAATGCATCTGTGAACAAATATAATAACATTCATCAGTGATGGTTATTAATAATATACCAAACATATATATGTGTGTATATACATATATTTATAAATTAGACTTAGACTGGGCAATCAGGAAATTACCCTGGGAAGGTTACTTGTAACCAGAAATCTGACAAATGGATAAAAGTTAGCTCTTGCACAGGCGATGGAATTGCTCTCTCTCTTCTTGGAATGAGCTGGCTGCAGAATAAAAGATAATAAAGAGAAAACGGTGGAAAAAAACCACAGTACACAAGAAGTAATTTTGAAAAGCGGAGGCAGGATGGTTCTTCAATCTAAGGGAATGAACTTCCACACTGGAAAGAGAGTGATGAAGCCCACACTTGCTTTATTTATATGGGGAAACATCAAAGGTTTTTGATGGAATGTTCTTTGCCAAATAAGGTAGGAGGTGGGCTGTCCAGTTCCCAATGCCCAACTCCAGAACTATGAGAGTTGTTTCACTAGTAAAGGGAAGACAGATGGTCTGGGACAGTCTGATATGCATGGGAAAGCTGGGATAGTTCCCAAGGAAAAAAAAAAACTAAGACTCCATGGCTCAGTACCATGTAAAGACCCCTCAAGTAGCTCATAGTGATTCCCCACAATTAGCAAAGGGAGATAGATGGGTGAGGTATGATTCAGATAGGAGAAAACAGCCAAGGAAAACAGCCAAAGCATCATTCCAAGCAGAGGCAACATGAGAGACTGTACCATAGAAAACCAACAGAGAACTGTTGATCAGTTCACGTGTTTCAATCACTCTTCCTTCCTGTGGTTCTATCACCCACTCCTCGAAGTCCATTTTACAACTGTATACAGAATCATGTTTCTAAAACACAGCCCTCCTCTCATCATCCTGTTCCTAAAAACACTTTTAGTCAATCTCACTACCTACAACCCCACTCATACTGGCCTCCTCACTCTTCAAAGCCATCAGTGTCCATTCCATACATGACACCAGGGTGGTTAGAATCTTCCAGTCACTCTACAGTTTTGTACATGCTTGTCCCTCTTCCTATAATACTCTTTCAAACTTTTCCATCTTACTGATTTCCACATTGTCTTCCTCTTCTATATATTTGGTCCCCCTTAGATTAGCATGTATCATATAGCAGATCAGCTCTATAACCATCTGTCTCTTCTGCTATACTGTGAGCTTACAGCTGTCATGCCATATGTCTTCAACTAATGCCTTATGAATGAACTGACTTAACATAAAACAAATTTGGTTTCTATCAAAAAGTAAGCGAGGAAACCATGGTGTCTTATATCAGAAAACTCTGAAGCAAGGCATCAACTCCTGATCCACCTCCAACATTAGAATGCATAACATCTGTTTGTGTTCCTCCACCAACTTGAACTTTGAATGCTGCTTCAAGTTCCCTAGAAATAATCCATGAATGCTTTCATAAAGATTGTGAAGAAGTGACCAAAATGGCAGTTACCTTGCAACCACCACAGAGGAAGACTCCTCATTACATTCCTGTCATCCTTTTGAAATACCACCTTGTAAAACACTTACCACTTATAAACATGAAAGGAAAATTGCCATGATATTTTATTTTATTTTATTTTTAATTTTTAATATTTATTTTTTAGTTCTTGGCAGACACAACATCTTTGTTGGTATGTGGTGCTGAGAATCGAACCCGGGCTGCACGCATGCCAGGCGAGCGCACTACCGCTTGAGCCACATCCCCAGTCCGCTTGAGCCACATCCCCAACCCCATGATATTTTAGATATGCAAATAAAATCACATAAAACAAATATGTTGAGAGCCTCCTGTGAAATGTGTGTAGATCAGATCTGCATGGAAGCCGATTGAAAGTCTGGTTATCTGGGAACTTAACAGAGGCAATTCTGCTGTAAGATGGCCCAGATACATGTGAACTCCCCTCAGCTCTGCTCAAAAAGGTCCCACACAGCACCAGAGATAGGGTGACCTGCTGTAGTCACACAGCCTCTTTGAGATGAGTGTAACCCGCCAACATGCCAATCAACCTTTGGACTGCAAGACATCACTATGCAAGACTCCACCTCTGAAACCTTATCCTTGCCTTTCATGTACCCCCTTAAATAAACCAAATAAACCGCTGGAGCCATTTTCTCATTCTTCAGCTCTAGCACCTGTGTGGGCTAGACCTATCAGGCACTCTGTATTCAAAACTATTTTTCTGACTTTGCCTTTTATTTCTTTGCCATTTTAGACTTTTTCAGGTGGCTTATCCCGTCCCAACCAGGAAAAATTATCCTGTCAAGGTGCTTGCTACCTTGCAATGTAAATACATTACCAAAACCTGTTGCTAGTATCAAAGCCTACTCAAACTCGAGTCTCACTGTTTCATTTCCAATTAACTCCTCCTCCTATTTAAGCAAAGCAGCAGGTGTTGCTGCACCCATTCGACCAGTCTTTCTGGAACAGATAACTCATTACTCTGTCAGAGAACATTAAGCTCAAGTATTAACTTTGAAATGTTCATTAACAATAAGGTTCAGAATAAGGAAATGGATGCCAGGGTTACAAATAAATTCTTAAAAAAAAAAAAAAACAAGCACATGCACACAGAGAGGTTCTGAAAACTTAACAGTGCAAAGTCAATAGTCAGAATGATGCTTTTTTAATAATTCCTGCTTAAACACAGGAAAAGGACTACCAGAGTTCTGAAAAGTGCTTCTGGAAACCATCAAATCATTCCCAATCTCCAGACTCTAAGGTGCTTCTTCCTGGAACATGAGGCATTTAGTGTTCACAAATACGCTCAGTGGTTGAAACACCTGGCCTGGGCCCAGCCAAGCCCTGTGACTCATAGAACCRGAAGCCTGGATTTGAGACTTTATCCTATCCTTGCACCCAATTCTGCCTCCATTCTGAATCTCCTTCTGCTTATCTCTTTTTCTTACCACAGTCACATCCCCAGCCTCAGTCCCTGCCCAGGTAGCCCAACCCCTACAGCATGTGTCCTTTCCCTCCTCCTCTTCTCTTTACCACTTGGAGAAGCAGAGCCAGTGGCAGACAGCCCAAACCACAAGTAACACTTCCACTGTGCTCCATGGTTGCTCTACCTCTATTCCGGCTATGAGGACTTTCCTATCTTTGAAAGCCCACAAATTGTTTAAACTACTATCAGTTTGCTGCCACACCCAATCAATAATAACTTGTCCTCC